GTGTGTGTGTGTGTGTGTGTGTGTGTGTGTGTGTGTGTGTGTGCTGAGGAGGAGGCAATCTGCGCGGCTGCGAGCAACAGCCCTGCCTGTCTCTGGCTGCCGTCGCCACTCTCGCCGTTGCAGCCGAGAAAATGATGACAGGGCGACCGTGCCTTACAGCTGTTTAACCGCTGGGCCCTCTAAGACAGCGCAGGAGGCGAGGCCGCCGCGAGTGGCTATTGTTGGGACCTCGAGCTGCATTCAGTGCAATTGCTACCGTTCAGGACGCATGTCCCCTCCAGCCGGGGACCTGGCACCGCTCCCGCCCGCTCACTGCCTAGAGTCCTCGATGGGTCGCTGCGCGTCCGTCGCCGCTTCACCCACTTCCAGCGCTGGAGCAGCGGCACGCGCGGTGTCCGCGCCGCACGGGGAACCCGGGAGCAGGTGGCCGGAGGTTAAATGGAAAAAATAATAAATAAAAGGAAGGGGGGAAGCAGAGACTCTCAAAAGGGAAATTGTACGGATGGGTAAAGTGATAATGTTGAGCAAGGTGTTTAAAATAACGCATTGGGTTAATAAAAATGGAAAGCGGCAAGTAATTATGCCTATTTTATGGAATGTGTGCAAAACTAGATAATTATTTTTAAAAGTACACTGGAATGTTTTGCACACATTCTATAAAATAATTATGCCTATTTTATAGAATACGTGCAAAACTAGATAATTGTTTTTGAAAGTACATTTACCAGCTTAGATGCAGGGTATCCTGATAAGGAAGGGGGGTGTGTGTGTGTGTGTGTGTGTGTCTCCTTTGGTGGCTCTCAGCTTCCCTCATAACATTCACTGTGATTCCAGTGCAATCATCTTTCTCTCAGCTACAAATTCTAGTGAAAACTGCTGGGCACTCTTGTCTGTGGCTCCTGCTGTCTCTCATTAGTGGCTCATTCTCTCCCTGATTTATATCCAATATATTCTCACATAAGATGATATTCAGCAGAACTTAAAAGTTAAAGCCATTCTCAAAACCCTGAAGACTAGAGTACTTCTTAATGACTGATTAATTTGCTTTAGCAATAGTTCTTTTCATGTTCTTATTCAGGAACAGATTGGGCAACCAGGAACAACTCCTCCTAAACACACACCCCTTTTTAACTGAATAGTACTATTAATTCACTCTCAGCATTCAGTTGTCTAAGCTAAAAATAAACTTAATTTCTTTTGATTTTATTGGTAATGCACACCTTTCATTACTTCTGTCTTGCTCTGAGCAGTTTTCATATTTGCCATGGATTTTCCCAGGTGTTAGGGCTCGTGTAGTCAGGGTTAAATTGGACAGATATTAATGCAGAAAGACCAGAGCCCCTGGAAAGGTAACAGGGAACCCAGAAGGAAGAAAGGAGCTCAAAAGGATTAACTAATACATCTTCTGCTGATCTGTTTACATTAGAAAACCACTGCCTTTAGCTGAACAAAGGCCAGTTAATGTGCAAAGCATTTATCAATTATCTAATAAATATCAATTTACCAAAATCAACCTAACTACAGTTGTAACAAAAAACACAAAGGTTAATATTTTGCTTTTAAAAAAATTGTACAATATATAATACAATTTAAAAGTATCCAGGATTTTTAAAATGTCAAAATCCTAATAAAACATGATGCTAAATAGTCACATATTTTTACCTCTTCATTTTTTGGTTTTTTTTTTTTTTGGTCTGTTAAATAGCTATTATACAACACACTATTAAAAATACTAACAATCTGAAGAGTAACTGCACATTTTCATACTTATGTACAATACAATGTAAGGAAGTAGGCAAAAGTAGTCTTGACCACTTGGAAATCCATGTGATGGAGAAGGTCGACTTTATCCATAGGCGATGTGTTTTGAAGCTTATCTGCCCCTCAAACTCATCTGTTACTAAAAATACCCAAACCTGAAATTCCATAGCTTAGCATTTTTGTCCTGTTTGTTTGTTTTACCTTTAGTTTTATTTTAAAATTCAAATATATTTAGGAGGAACATTTATAATTTAAACATTCTTGAGAGATGTAAGTTATTAGATATTTTTATTACAGATAAACAAAGCACTAATCTCTTAGCCTAGGTTAAAAAGGAAGAACCAGGAATTACTGAAGGAATTGGTAATGAACACTTAAAACCAAGTTAGCTGGCTTTTGAAAAATTGCTCATAACATTGCTGAGATTTAAGAACAAACAGCTTTTTTAACAAAACTACCACACAACCCCTCCCTCCAGTTTGGTAATGGAGGAAGAGCATTTTTAGTCAGGGATTGGTAGCTGACCCTTAATCTCTGACTCTTCTAATTCACAATTTTCCATTTTGTGGGAAAGTTTACAAATTGTTGCTTTATAACCCTGTGCCCATTTCTCTGAGATGCCTTTCTGCCCCCATCACTGGATTTTCAGAAACTATGGCGATGTTTGTATAATTAATCCATGTCAAACAAAAGTTGAAAAATATATATAAGCTTACTCTATAAATTCCCATTGATCAACAAAATCAGCAATTTATGGGACTATAGAAAGAAATAACATCTTAATATTCAACTAGCTCTCTTTTTCTTCAAAACATGCAGCCTGGTTGGTGTGGCTCAGTGGTTGGAGCATCGGCCCGCCCGTGCACCAAAGGGTGTTGGGGTCTATTCTGAGGAAGGGTCAGTACCTGGGGTGCAGGTTTGATCCTAGGCCCTGACACTGTGTGGGAGGCAACCGATCCATATGTCTGTCTCTCCTTCCCTTCCTCCCTCTAAAAAAAGAAGAAAAAAAAATCAATAAACATAAAAAACAACCACCATGCATTCCCTAACTAAATTGTTTTTTAATGACATTTACTTACTGGGAAAGAGCCAAAAGATTGTAAGCTCCGTGATGGTAAAAGACGTGTTTGTTTAGTTCATTCATGTATCTCTAGCATCCGCCAAAGTGCTTAGAAGGTGGTATGTGAGCGGTCAGTAGTTTTTAAATAAAAGAGTGCATGAGCTAAGGAATTAATCTCTGAATGCAGAGCATCGGGAAGATAAGTGAGCCGGAAATACGGATGTTTAAATTCTCCCAGTCTACTCAGCTAGTAAATAACTGTGGCACTTCAGAGAAATGACTCACTTCTTGTGGTCTCAAAGTATCCTTGCAGAACTATCACTTAGAGGCTCCACAAAACTTCCTAATAAATGTCTGTCCCAATACTCCTCCAAAATGGTTTTCTACTATGAAAACTCAATCAATAAAATTCCCTAGAATCTCATTTCCTGAGCATATTGCAAACCAGTAATATCAGGACCTATTAATCCCTAAGAAATGCACGGTTTCCTTTACTTTTTATTTCCAAATCTGCACCTAGTTAGTCAGTACTGGACTTGATGCTTAAAGAAAATAGCTTGTTACATATTTATTTATGTATGTGTTCCTAGAATTTTAGGTCTGTGCCAAGGATTACAAGAAAGATAACCTTCATTGACTTTTTATGAACCAAATAACCTAAATCTTTAAAAGATATGAGAAACAGAGTTTAGATAGTAAAATACCATAGATTTTGTGAAGTAAATACAAGTCCATATTTAATGATAGGCTTATATATAAACTGGTGCTTTACTCCTTACCATATTAATTTTTTTCAACAAACATTTACTGAGCATCTATTATGTGCAAAGCTTTGAGAAGAAAAACATACTCCAATCAGCCACAGCATCCATTTTTATTTTATTTTTAATTTTTTTTTGGTTTAAAAATGTATATCTTTATTGATTTCAGAGAGAGGAAGGGAGAGGGGGAGAGAGAGTAGAAACATCAATGATGAGAGAGAGTCATTGATGGGCTGCCTCTTGCACTCCCCCCACTGAGGATGGAGCCCCCAACCCTGGCATGTGCCCCAACCGGGAATCATCCAACAGTGATATCCTGAATTCTAGGTTGATGCTCAACCACTGAACAACACCCGGCAGGGCACAGCATCCATTTTTAAAGGATATATAATATATTCTTACTTTATAATTTTAATTTTTATTATTAAAGTATGCTATCTTTCAGAAAAAATATATAGACAAATTTATACCAGACATGATAAAAATTTTCACCAACTTTGACTACATGGTGAGAGGAAAGCTACTTCTCAACTTGAGCAGACTGTCACATGGAAACTTACTGACTAATTTCCAATTAATGAATCAATCAGTGAATATAGGCTGGGAGGTTAGGAGAGATCCAGAAAAGGCATGATTTTATTTCACCATCTTTTAAAAAGGGTAATAATCACACAACACTGAATTTGGATAGGCCTTTGGATTTCATTTAGTCCAATTCTTATATCTCATAGGATAGGAAACAGTAGGTCACCAGAGCTTACTCCTGGAAAGTCCATTTACCAGTCTCTCCATGGACTACCTGGTTATGAATATGCAAGATTTGGCATTAAAAAAAAATGCACAGTTCCATTCCCAGGTATGTCAATGGCTACCTGTATGACCTTGGGGAAATTATCTTTTCAGATCTCAGTTCTCTCATCTATAATATGAAGATTTTTAAAGCTTTATTGAGGTATAATTGACAAATAAAATTACAATATATGCCAAATGTGCCAAGTGATGATCTGATATATGTATACACTGTGAAAAAACCTCACCATCAATTTGACACATCCACTACCTTGCACAGTTGATTTTTCTCTTTTTTGCAAGACTTAAGTTCTATTCTCTTAGCAAATTTCAATTATACGATACAGTATTTTCACCTATAGTCACTATGTTATACATTTGATCCTCAGAACTTATCCATCTTATAACTAGAATTTTATATCCTTATACCAGCCTTTTTCTATTTCCACCAACCCCATTACACAGCAACAACCATTCTACTGTTATGAGTTCAACTTTTTTTTTTTTAATCCCATATA